AAGGTTGGGCAATCTACTTCTGTAGTGATACTGCCTTGGAAACCCAAGGAGGGGTCACTATGAGTCAGGTCTGACTCAACGGCACATAACAACAACAGTTCTTAGAAGATAGACTCCTGTTTTGTCACTTAAAAATGTTATTTTAATGTGATTTTCTAATTCTCTTTCTTAACATAAAGAAGCTATCAAATATTTTATATGTTTTCTGATAATAGCAGTCCAACAGACATGTGAAAATTGCCTATCTTATAGAAACAAGAGGGGAGCTCTGGTAGAATAGTGCCTAAAGCACTTGACTGCTAACGAGAAGGCTGGCAGTTCAAACTCACCAGCCACTCCTCAGAAGGAAGGTTGGGCAATCTACTTCCATAGCGATAGTGCCTCGGAAACAGTAGAGGGGTCACTATGAGTCAGTGCCGACTAGACGGCACATAACAACAACAACATAGAAAACAGATACTCTAAGAAGGATTACTTGTTCTTAAAGTGAGGTATCAGCACTCATAGTACAATGAATTGTAAAATGCCTCTCTCTTCTTCCTTGCTTTCTCTATTTAGCATATGAATAAACCTGACTGTCTTTACTAAAGGTAAAAGTTGCTTTGGGAATATTAATTTATTTGCAAGAGTCTCTATTGAGAGTTGTTGTGTGCTATGGAGTATATTCTGACTCATAGCAGCCCTATAGGACAGAGTAGAACTATCCCTTAGAGTTCCCTAGGCTGTAATCTTTACCAGAGCAGATTGCCATGTCTTTTCTCCCTTGGAGCCACTGGTGGGTTTGAACTGCTAATCTTTCAGTTAGCAGCCTAGCACTTAACCATTGTACCACAGGACTCCTTGTATTGAGAGTACTATGTGAAAAATGAAAATAATCAAAAAGTGCCAACTTGTGCCAGTACAAGCTGTTGATCAAAAAAATTCTGTTTTTATTTGATGCCCTCATGGCCAGGAAGAACCAGGGCTGAGTCAAGGATAATGGAGATGATTTGGGGGAGAACTGATGAAAGTCTTGTCTTGCTTAGCAGGAAATTTTTGACTCTCCATGTTCTTCTGGGTAGTATCAAAGAGGAGTGAGGAAGGAATTTTATCACCTTTCTTAAATTGCATTGGTAACATTTCAAGGGTATTCAACCACCCAATTTCAGTAACTGAAAAGGGAATCTCAGATCTTTATCTCATTCTTTGTGTGTGGCCTTGAGCAACTCACCTGGTTTTCTCCCATGAACCAGTTTTGTTTTCAGAGCAAAAGAGGCAGTAATAATTAAATGTCATTTTTTGGAGTAAATCAAATCTCAAAAAGTAATATGAATTTATGTCTGTATTGATGCCTGATGGTACTTTTTGAAATATGTGGGTTGTGAGGCCTAGCACAGACATAATAAATGTTAATACACAGAAAACAAATTATCTCCAAAAGCTTTCATTAAGTGGAAATTTAAAAATTCACCCTTCACTTTCAGAGCTGCTTCAAAGTGAAACTAGCTTCAGTCAGGCAAACAATTTTTAAAAATACCAAGCAAATACTTGAGCCATTTATAACCAGTTCTCTTTGAGTCGGCCCCAACTCACGGATACCTCTGCATGTGTCACAGTGGAAACGTGCACCGCAGGGTTCTCACTGTGTATCCACAAGTAGATCCCCAGGCCTTCCTTCTGAGGCGCCTCCTGCGAGATTTGAGCTTACAACCTTGTGGTTAACAGCTGAGTGATCTCACCACTTACACCACCCTGGGACTCCTTGAGCCGTCTGACAGGATGATAAGTCTTCTCTAGTGCCATGCTGAAATGACTTCTCCCCAATGCAGCAGGCAGCAGCTATAACAGCCTCGGAGCATTCCAGAGAACCCAGTGCAGCAGGAGGCCTCTCAGACAGCTCATCTGAAGCCTCCAAGTTGAGTTCCAAGAGTGCTAAAGAAAGAAGAAATCGGAGGAAGAAAAGGAAACAGAAAGAGCAGTCTGGTGGGGAAGAGAAAGATGAGGATGAGTTCCATAAATCCGAGTCTGAGGACAGCATCAGGAGGAAAGGGTTTCGCTTCTCCATCGAAGGGAATCGATTGACGTATGAAAAGAGGTACTCCTCCCCACACCAGGTATGGAGCTGTTGACTTAAATGATTCATGAATGAAAATTAGGCCACTGAAGGGAGCGGGGGAGTTCAAATAGATTTTTAAATTTCCATCAACTAATTGACTGCTTTTTTACTTCAATTTATATTTATCCCTTCTTCACATATTATGAAAATATTTTACTTTACATATATTTAAGTTGACAGCTTGGTATAGTTGAAATAACACTGGGTTGAAAGTCAAGAGCCCTAAATTCTGATCCTGGTACTATTTGCTCATACTGTCTATAACTAATTACATTTTCATCTTTTTGGTTTATAGCCTTCTTAATAGGGGGAAAAAAAAAACTGTGCTTTTTGGGCTAGCTGATAAATATCTCCTTTATTATTTTATTCACGTAACTTCTTTATAAACCATCATGCATCCTCTTGAAAATGTTACTCATGGTACAGTTTATTGAACAGAACATCATTCAGAACTTCAAAATTGAACTTCAAATTCTAACAACACTATCTGTGCCTTATAGGTGAAACAGGAATGATAATTAAAGGAATTTTACAAAGATGGACTAAAACAATTTATAAAGTGTTGGAATTCTTTGAAAGGGAAAAACAATGAAAACAAATTGATCTTGTTAAGGTCATACCCCCAATGTTTACTGAATATTTACGATGTCCATAGCAATGTACTAAGAATATTTCTTTTGAGCTGGAGAAATAGTGGTTCAGGTTGGTTAGTTTTTGAAATATCTTTTGCTTCTGCAATATTGCCTATTCTTCAATCTCAAGAGCTAGAAGCCCCGTTTTATAAAACTAATTTTATTTAATCCAAATGCATATAAAATGAGGAGGTTAGTTAAAAGGAATGAATCACATTTTATTATGAATGTTGACAATCTCCTTCACTTACTCTTGCAAAACGAAAGAACATTTGAAAAGGTTATTTTGACATGATTCTTCTTTTGCTTATTGTTGTTTCAAACTTTCAGTCTTTGTTGAGCATCCGTGGCTCCCTGTTTTCTCCAAGGCGAAATAGCAGAACAAGCCTTTTCAGCTTCAGAGGGCGAGCAAAAGATGTGGGATCCGAGAATGACTTTGCTGATGACGAGCACAGCACATTTGAAGATAACGAGAGCCGGAGAGATTCGCTGTTTGTGCCCCGACGACACGGAGAGCGACGCAACAGTAACCTCAGTCAGACTAGTAGGTCGTCCCGGACGCTGGCAGTGCATCCAGCGAATGGGAAGATGCACAGCGCTGTGGATTGCAATGGTGTGGTTTCCTTGGTTGGTGGACCTTCGGTTCCTACATCGCCTGTTGGACAGCTTCTGCCAGAGGTGATAATAGATAAGCCAGCTACTGATGACAATGTAAGGAAGTTTTAAATAGTTTAGGCATGGCTGGCCCATTATTGCTGCACCAGCCAGTGTTTCTACAGAATGGAACCCCTTGAGAATGATTCCTGGTTGGTGAAGCTGTGAATGTACCTGCATCTTGTAATACCTCTAATAGACTAAAGAGACTAAAACTTAAAACCTCACCACTCTCTGCATAACACCTGAATGCATTTGTTTATAAAATTGCTAGAAAAATAATTTAGACACAATAATAAGTTATTGCCTCCAGTTGGAGGATTTGCTATATACCCATACTGAATTTAGATAGCAGAATGTCATCTAAGGCCCTGCCCAAAACCAAATGAATGATTCCTCTACTTAAATGTAAGGGTGTATAATAAATCTTTCCAACCAATTCTTCAATATTACTCTCGTTTAGGAGATTTTCAAGAACACTGTGCATAAACAGATAGCTTCATTGTTACTTTAACATTTCTAGTTTTCTTATTTGTCTTCCTAAAAAAAAAATGCTGATATAAGTCTTCTCAGATCTAATATAAATGAAGAGATACAAATAAATTATTCATTCTGACAGTTAAAATAATTGTGTTCAAAGGTGTGTTAAGTATTTGTGAATATGTCCACAGATGAGGAATTTTTAAATAGATGTTGCCTCTTTTTAGACTGTTCACTCACTTGAAAATATATCAGCATGATGAGGCATGACTAAGTTAGAATTAGATGACTTATTGCTTTGGTACCCTGGATGAAACTGTTGTCCATGCAGCATGCATGTGTCTTTTTTTAACATACAGTTTGTGTTGTCAATGACCATCCATGTCTTGTGTCTAAAAAATGAGATGGTAGCTAAGTGTGTTGTAACAATTTGTACTTGTTTAAAAATAAATGGCTACCTTCTCAATACCAAGT